GTGGGTTCGATCGAGTTAATGGGGAAGAGAGTTGTTTGAGATGTGTGGTTGAGATTAAAAGATGAAATAAAGAGGGAACAAGAAGCTAGGGATTCTCTGATCAAATTAGGGTAGTGGGGGACCAAAATCAGCTTGTGGGACCCACTCCCTTGACCAAGAAACGGTTAGAATTTGAAATTCAAAAACTTACCTCGGTCGAGTTGTGGAACTCGATCGAGTTGCCCTGGTTTCTAGCTCGATCGAGCTGTCGGTCGAGCTGGCTCCTTTGACACCTAAACTTAACTTATTGAAAGGTTAAAAACATAAAGATAGATAGAAATTGCATAAATAGAATATGTACAAGGATAAACATGGGACTTCCTCCCAAGTGAGCTTGTTTAAGGTCCCATAGCTTGACCTTTACCTTCTTAGGCATTGGTTGAGCTAGTCCCACCATCAAGGGTGATAGTGAGGACTTGAGACAGAAGCTCCTTTAGCTTGGTTGGGTCCCTGGACTGTTCTGAAGTCACCAAGGCCTTGGCTCTAGAGAATGGCCTTGATCTCCCCTTGTACCTTATCTTGTACTCAATCTTCCCATTTTCAAACTTGGTGGGGAACAAAGTCATTGTGAGCTGAGATGGCTTGACTGAAGGGGCCTGAGCTGGTGGATCCTTTCTTTTATCCCTGGTCTTGCCTTAGAGGCTGCATCCTCCCCTTCTTTTAGAGCCCTTCCTAGTGGCTCATCAAACAAAGCTTGAAGGCTCTCTTCATCAAGCACACAAGGGGCTTGAACAAGTCCTCAGCTCTTGGCCTATCAGATCGTGGTTTCTCAACTCTAGCCCTCTCAAGACGTGGCTTCTCAATCCTTGGTCCTCTCTCATCCTTATCCTTCCCAACTCTTGGTTCTTGTCAACCCTTTCCTTCACAACCTTTGTAGCTCCATGACTCTTAGAACTGAGATTGGTACTGTCAATTGTGGCACAAAAGTCTGAACCTCTAGGCTGCAAGCGATATGACACCAAACTATTCACCTTGTGAAGGATCACTTCTTGCTTGTGAAAGTCTATTGAAGCGCCAACTGTACTAAGGAAAGGGGTTCCCAATAAAAGGCAAATCCTTCTCTTCTTCCATTTCCATCACAGTGAGATCAGTTTGGATGATGCATTCTCCAATTTTCAAGTGATAGTTCTTGAACACTCCAAGAGGAGACTTAGAAGTTGCATCTCCAAACATGATTGAAGTAGTAGGGCGCTGCAAGGCTCCAGCAATGCCTAGCTTCTCTGCCATGGAGAGAGAGATCAGATTGATGCTTGCTCCAGAATCCACTAAGGCATTGTCAATCTCAAGATGCCCAAGTGTGCAAGGGAGAGTGAATTTCCCTTGATCCTTGACCTTTGGTAGGAAGGTGGGTGAAGTAAGCAGGTTGAACTGATGAGTAGACTCTTGTAGGACCTCTGAAACTTTATCACTGTTGGCTAGAACATCCTTGACCATTTGCATTTGATCAAATGCCTCACTCATGCTATCCATAGGAGGCAACTCAATTCCAATCCCACTGAGATCTCTTCTGAACTTGTGAATCACTTCCTTGTGACCTTGACTAAGTAGGCGAGACGAGGAAGCGGCAACCGGTTGATAAGGATCAAGCAAAACAGGCTGTCGGACAGAAGAGGTCGGACTCGATCGAGCTAGAGTTGGACTCGATCGAGCTGCCGATCGAGCTTGTCGTGCGAGCTCAACTGGTGAAGTGTGAATGGCCACAGTAGGTGCATGCACTTCTGGTTGATCAATCTGGACTCCAGGAGCCTCAGCAGCAACAATCTCTTCATCATTCAGCAGTAAACAAAAATCTTCAATGACCCTTTCTTGATCCTCTTCTTCAACAAGTCCTTCTTGAGTGAAGATGACCTTGCACTGTTCCTTGGGGTTCTGAATAGCTTTACCAGGTAGTTGTCCTTGCTTTGTAGCAGCAGCAACAGAAGAAGCATGATTCTCCAGAGAGTAAACCCTTGTGTTGAGGTTCTCGATCTTAGAGTTTATTTCAGCTAGCTTCTTGCTTGTGTCCACTACCCCATCAGCTTGCCCTTGAAGTAGTTGCTTTAGCATTGCCTTGAGCTCATTCTCTTGTGAAGGTGCAGGCTGGGGCGGTTGGTGGGGGAAGCCTGGTGGGATATTCATTTGTTGTCCAGGGAAAGTGCCTTGTGGTCCTTGGTAATTGTTCTTTTGACCATACCCATGTTGTGGCACCTTGACTCGATCGAGCTGCTTGTTGTTGAGGATAGACTTGGTCCTGAGGGTTAGCAACATCAGTGTTGCGGTATGACATGGCAGGGTTGGACTTGTAGTTATAGTATCCTTTGTTGTAACCTCCTTGCCCATTGCTCATGTAGCATACCTCAGCAAATTGTGTATCCTCCCCTTCTTGGACTGGTTCCATCTCCTCAGCAGACACAAAGTTGACTTTCTTCATTGTGGACTGAGCTAGGATCAGCTTATCCAACTTCTCATTCAATGCCTTAACATCTTTTCTCAACTTTTCGTCTGACTCGATCGAGTGGTGGGTCGAGCTCCGTTGGTGCGATCATACTCTTCTCCATAGCTTCCATTTGAGTTAGCTATGTTCTCCACAAGTTGCCAGCCATCATCTACATCCTGGTTGAGGAAGTTCCCATTGCTAGCTGTGTCTAGCATCTCCCTATACCTAGGCAAGCATCCTCTATAAAGAGTGGAGAGTAGTGATTCATTGTTGAATCCATGGTGTGGGCACTGACTTGTGTAGCCTTTGAACCTCTCCCAAGCCTCTGCGAATGTCTCATTGTTTCGCTGGATGAAGCTGGATATCTCTCCTCTAAGCTTGGCTGTGCGACCGGTGGAGAAAAACTTAGCAAGAAAGGCCTTCTTGCATTCATCCCAAGTGGTGATTGTGCCATGGGGCAAGCTCTTCTCCCATTGGTGAGCTTTGTCAGCTAGAGACATAGGAAAGAGTCTCAGCTTGATGGCATCTTCAGAGACACCATTGATCTTTGTCAAATCACAAAGCCTATCAAACTCATCAAGGTGGTCAATGGGGTCTTCACTTGGCAATCCATGGAACATCTTGTTCTGGACAAGGTTGATCATTCCCAGCTTGATCTCAAAGTTGTGGTTCTGCACTGGTGGTGGAACAATCCCTTGTCTCTGTTGGTGGCGGTTTGGAGCATCTCCTTGACCAATCGGTCGAGTTTGCCTAGCTCGACCGAGTCCATGCCCAAAGGGTTTCCATTCCCCTCTGGTACATCCATTGTATCAGCAACAAGCACCTCAGGTTCCTCTTGTACCCTCTGTGACCTCTGAACCCTCTTTCTACCCGTTGTAATGTCTAGCTCGACCAAGTCTTCAGTTAGACCGACTCGATCGAGTTCGCATACACCTGCAAAAAGAGACAAAAACCCAGCAGTACAATAGAACAGGGGTGGTATAGCTTGATCGTCCAAGTGTGTTTGAAACTCAAATGCAACAAAAATATTCCCAAATCGGCAACGGCGCCAAATTGATGATAGGATTTGTGTGTGGATGTGAAAAGATATGAAATGAGATGAGTGGAATGCAACAGTGGTAATGATGGTGGTAAGATGCAAACACAAACACAGTCAACAATTCCTCTTAACCATCATAGTCATTGAAGTATAAGAGGTTATCAATCCAAAATGGGAAACTTGTCACTCTATGAGAATATGAAACAACCAGAAAGTCAAGCAAGCAGTTATAGATTTGAAGTAACACTAACAACCTAAAAATGAAATGCAGTGCAATAAAAGTAAACAAAGCAGTGAAGTCAGCTCGACCAAGACTCGAGTCGAGTGGAACAGAGTACCAGCTCGATCGAGTTTAGGGTCGAGTTGAGACAAAAAAGCTAAAGGTGACGACTTTAACAAGATAAAGAGAGAATTAGGGTTCAAGACAGGGTTTTGCAATCAAAGGAATCTACACTTAATCAATCTAGCTCTTAAAACTCCTTGTATCAAGGCTTCTCTTGATATTGGGCTTCTCAATGCCTAGCCAACCCTTTCCCAAGGTGGAGGCTATCAACCAAGGAATGATCTCAGAAACAGGGGGTTAGCCAGTGAGAATCAAACCTTGGAGGCTATAGGATCATTGCCCAAACTAATCCATCCAACCCCTTAGACCTCTATTGTCTAGAGCAAGAGATATTGGAGCTCTTAGTGGATCTTTTCCAGCGAATGCCATCACTTCGTGTGGGGAGTCGCCTAAGGACTTACAAGCCAGGGGTAGTGGTCATGTAGCCTTAAGATCTATCCAAAAGAGAGAGAATCTAGATTAAGACCATAAGCTAGAAGGATTAAGCATATGAAACCTCTAATCTATCCCATCTCAAACCCTAATGGGTAACTACTCACTACACATGAATGTAAACACAAGCAAATGCAATAAAAGAGACATCATAAGAAAGAGGAGATGAAATTAAACAACTTTTATTGAAATAAGCAAGTGCAAATACAAAGAAGATTATCCAGGATCTAAGATTCAAGAAGCAAGAGCTTCAAGAACACAAAGATGGGATTAGTCTCTAAAAAGTAAAAGACAATAAATTAAAGAAACTAAAACAAAATAATCTAAAGCTTGGTGGTTTTTTCGTGGCTTAGAGCCTTTAAATACAAGAGGATTAGGTTTAGGGTCAAAGGAAAGTCAAGGGGGAAGCAACATTTTTCGGGTTTGACTTTGACTTCCAGCTCGATCGAGTTGAAGCTTGGCCGGTCGAGTGAGGAACTCGACGGTCGAGCTGGTCTTCAAGATGGCTTCTCCCTTCTTCCTTTGCGTATCCAGTTGAGCTGCTTCCATGTGCCAAGTCCCTCCATGCTCCTTATGTCCCATATGCTCCAGAATGCTCCAAAAGACCTATTTCAAAGGACCAAACATGCATATGTATGCAAATGCAACCTAAAACTAACATGAATGCATAAGAAGAGAAAAGGAACAAGATATGATGCAAATGGAAGCTAAAACTATGCAAAAGATGCATAAAAGATGTGCTAAAACTATGTAAAATGCAAGTACATCATGTCCTCAATGAAAGGATCCATAATTCAACAATGAGTCATAGATAGTAGATGAGATCTCATGAGTCATATTGAGAAAGAGAGGCGGAGAGATATGAGTCAAGCCGCACCTCAATCGTAGGGAGAAGTCTCTACTTCTAGACTATAAGAATTAAAACATGCGAGCTATATACAAATGCAAAAGAAGAAAAGAAAGAAGAGCAAGGAGACCACCTAAGTGGCTCCGAAACTTTATTGAATGTGTCTTTTTGTCTCGGTGACTGGTGATTCTTATTACAAGAGGCTAAAAGCAAGTATATATAGGTAGAGAGCGGGTCTAGGTCGGCAAAGTTGAGGCGCGCCAAGAAGAGGAAAGTTTCCATTTCTCTTCAGCCGCTTGAGCTTGCTCTCCAAGTTCTTGAATGGGCCGAGTTCGGGCCAATGGAACCTCCTTGATCGAGTTAGATCAATGTTAAGACGAGCTAAGGCCTTTGGCGCGGTGGCTTGGGCCTATAGATACGTCAAAGTCTCCACGAGCTCTACTTGGGCGTTTGCCGGATATGTCTTGGTAGAAAATAAGTTCCGGCCAAATGAATGATCCAAATGACCTCTTTCCACTTCGCCGTGGGTCACGACTCAAATATCTATCTTTCCATATAAGAATCATGATTTTGGACGTCGGGAAGGCATGAATATGCGGCCGTACTTCGGATGCTCCGGTTTGGTCTTTAGCGAGAAATGTAGATTTTGGTGCTCTAGACTTGGGAACTTGGTGATTTGACTCCTTTTGCTCCATTTTGGACTCTTCTTTGCTATTTTGACCTGAATGATGCTCAAAACCAGAATATACAAGAAAACTACCTCTTGGGCTTAAAAACCACATTATTTGTATTGAAAACATAGTGAAAACCTTGGTAAAAACATGAAAGATATGGATATATCAACCCCTTAGACCTCCATTTTCTAGAGCAAGAGATATTGGAGCTCTTAGTGGACCTTTCCAACGATTTCCATCACTTCCATGTGGAGAATCGTCTATGGACATACAAGCCAGGGATAGTGGTCATGTAGCCTTAAGGTTTGTCCAAAAGAGAGAGATTTCTAGATTAAGAACATAAGCAAGAAGGATTAAGCATAAAAATCCTCTAATCTATCCCATCTTTGACCCTAAGGGAAACTACTCACTACACATGAATGTAAACACAAGCAAATGCAATAAAAGAGACATCATAAGAAAGAGGAGATGAAATTAAACAACTTTTATTGAAATAAGCAAGTGCAAATACAAAAGAGATTATCCAAGATCTAGGATTCAAGAAGCAAGAGCTTCAAGAACACAAAGATGGGATTAGAGCTCTCCAAAGTAAAAGACAATAAAATTAAAAGAAGCTAAAACAAAAGTAATCTAAAGCTTGGTGGTTTTTTCGTGGCTTTTAGCCCTTAAATACAAGAGGATTTAGGTTTAGGGTCAAAGGAAAGTCAAGGGGGAAGCAACATTTTTCGGGTTTGACTGTTGACTTCTCAGCTCGATCGAGTTGAAGCTTGGCCGGTCGAGTTGAGAATGTTATCCATGCCCAACCTTGGCCCAACTCAGCTCGATCGAGCTCAGCATACTTGTGGTACCTCATCGATGCCAAAAACTCACAAGTGAGCTCCTTGTATGACTCCATGCGATGAGAGAAGAACTTGGCCAAGTGCATGTTCTTGAGGACTAGCTCCACATCCTCAAAGATTCCAAGAACCCTCATTGTGTCATCATGTGGGTACTTGGTCTCCACAAAGTCCATGGAGAGGAGAGCATTGTAGTGCTCTTGGTACATAGGGAGCTCATCCTCCTCCATTGGCGCATTCTCATTGCTCTCATGCTCACTTCCATCAATCTCTTGACTAACCTCGTCCCCTTCTTCATTTGAAGAGTCATCACTTTCTCCCTTTCCAATGTTCACCCCAATCTCGAATTCTCCCAATTCGCTCACTGCTGATAGGGTCATTCCTCCTCTTGGTCCTTCTCTCTTCCCTCAACCTCTCAATATGTTCCTCATCTTCCTTGCTTATTGTCTTTAGCATTCTCCTTGCTCCTCTCATTATCTCCTCCTTTGTAAAAGCTGCTTTGCTTCCTTCACCTCTCAACATCTTAAACTTGTTGCTTCTTAAAGTTGAGTCCCTGAAATTCACCAAAAACCCAAGGAATTAGAGTTGTAATCATTGGTTCGGTCAACTCGACACTCAGCTCGATCGAGTAAAAAAAATCGAGTGACAAACTCGATCAAGCTAAGTGAAAATAGAGTAAAACCGAACCTACATCAAGTATTAAGAGCTGGAAAGGGTGCTAGACAATCAAATCGAACCAAAAACATCAAGTAATTGGGACAATGAGCAATTCTAGTGAAGATAATAGCATCCTAACCAATACCAAACTCAAATTCAAAGGAATCAAGCACATGCAACAAGTTTAATGGCAAAACAGAGGTGAGGTGAGGCAAATTCACAAGATTAGATAACAGGAGAAGGATATGAAGACAATTACTCAACAACAAGTCCACAAGGGACACATGCAATCAAAATCAAAGAGAACACAAGTAATAGAAAGGAATCAAGCTTAAGGATTCAGGGGGTTTTAGGGTTCATACCTTGCTTGAATGATGATTGAACTAGAACAGAAGATAGAACTAAAGCAATTCAAGACAATGAACAATGGAGAAATCGCAAAGGCTTAAAAGAGAAAGAGGGATTTTCGGATTTTTCTTATGGTGATGAGAGAGATGGATAATTTTCAGAAAATTTAGAGTGTGGGAGAGAGAGAGGGGTTGTGCGATCGAGTTATGGGGAAGATGGAGTGTTTGAGATGTGTGGTTGGAATTAAAAGATGAATTAAAGAAGGGACAAAAGCTAGGGGATTCTCTGATCGATTTTAGGAAGTGGGGGACCAAAATTTACATGTGGGACCCACCCCCTTGACCAAGGAAACGGTTAGAAAATTTGAATTTCAAAAACTTACCTCGGTCGAGTTACCCTTGTCTCTAGCTCGATCGAGCTGGCGGTCGAGCTGGCTTCTTGTCACCTAAACTTAATCTCCGTGAAACGTTAAGACACAAAACAAGATAGAAATTGCATTAAAAAGTATGTACAAGGATAGTCATGGGACTTCCTCCCAAGTGAGCTTGTTTAAGGTCCCATAGCTTGACATTTACCTCTTAGGCATTGGTTGAGCTAGTCCCACAATCAAGGGTGATAGTGAGGACTTGAGACAGAAGCTCTTTTAGATTGGTTGGATCCCTGGACTGCTCTGAAGTGACCAAGGCCTTGGCTCTAGAGAATGGTCTTGATCTCCCCTTGTACCTTATCTTGTACTCAATCTTCCCATTTTCAAATTTGGTGGGGAACAAGGTCATAGTGAGCTGAGATGGCTTGGTTGACGAAACCTGAGCTGATGGGTGCTTTCTTTTCTCTCCCACAACCTTTGTAACTTCAGGAGGCTTGTAACTGAGAGTAGGTCTGAGAGCATTGCTTTCAATTGTGGCACAAAAGTCTGAACGTCTAGGTTGCAAGCGATAGGACACCAAACTATTCACCTTGTGAAGAATCACTTCTTGTTTGTGAAAGTCTATTGAAGCGCCAACTATGCTAAGGAATGGGGTTCCCAATAGCAGAGGTAGATCCTTCTCTTCTTCCATCTCCATGACAGTAAGATCAGTTTGGATGATGCATTCTCCTATTTTCAAGTGAGAGTTTTTGAACACACCAAGAGGAGACTTGGAAGTGGCATCTCCAAACATGATTGAAGTAGTAGGGCGCTGCAATGCTCCCGCAATACCAATCTTTTCTGCCATTGTGAGTGAGATGAGGTTGATGCTTGCACCAGAATCCACCAAGGCATTGTCAAGCTCAATATGCCCAAATGTGCAAGGGAGAGTGAATTTCCCTTGATCCTTCACCTTTGGTAAGAAAGTAGGTGATGTAAGCAGGTTGATTTGGTGAGTAGACATCTCCATAAGCTCAGAAACCTTTTCCTTGTGAGCCAGAACATCTTGAATCAACTTCAGTTGCTCAAAGGCCTCACTCATGCTCTCCATAGTAGGTAACTCAACTCCAATCTCACTTAAGTCTCTTCTGAAGTTGTGAATCACTTCCTTGTGGCTTTGACTGAGTAGGCGGCTTGATGATTGATGTACTTGCATTTTACATAGTTTTAGTACATCTTTTATGCATCTTTTGCATAGTTTTAGCATCCATTAGCATCATATCTTGTTCCTTTTCTCTTCTTATGCATTCATAGTAGTTTTAGGTTGCATTTGCATACATATGCATGTTTGGTCCTTTGAAATAGGTCTTTTGGAGCATTCTGGAGCATATGGGACGTGAGGAGCATGGAGGACTTGGCACATGGACGCAGCTCAACTGGATACGCAAAGGAAGAAGGAGGAAGCCATCTTGAAGACCAGCTCGACCATCTACTCGACCAACCGGTCGAGTTCCTCAACTCGACCGGCCAAGCTTCAACTCGATCGAGCTGAGAAGTCAACAGTCAAACCCGAAAAATGTTGCTTCCCCCTTGACTTTCCTTTGACCCTAAACCTAATCCTCTTTGTATTTAAAGGCTAAAAGCCACGAAAAAACCACCAAGCTTTAGATTACTTTTTGTTTTAGTTTCTTTTAATTTATTGTCTTTTACTTTTTAGAGCTCTAATCCCATCTTTGTGTTCTTGAAGCTCTTGCTTCTTGAATCCTAGATCCTGGATAATCTCTTTTGTATTTGCACTTGCTTATTTCAATAAAAGTTGTTTATTTCATCTCCTCTTTCTTATGATGTCTCTTTTATTGCATTTGCTTGTGTAGTGAGTAGTTTACCCATTAGGGTTTGAGATGGGATAGATTAGGGGATTTTATGCTTAATCCTTCTTGCTTATGGTCTTAATCTAGATCTCTCTCTTTTGGAAATCTTAAGGCTACATGACCACTACCCCTGGCTTGTATGTCCATTAGGCGATTCTCCACATGGAAGTGATGGAAATCGCTGGAAAAGGTCCACTAAGAGCTCCAATATCTCTTGCTCTAGAAATGGAGGTCTAAGGGGTTGGATGGATTAGTTTGGGCAATGATCCTATGGCCTCCAAGGCTTGATTCTCACTGGCTAACCCCCTGTTTCTGAGATCATTCCTTGGTTGATAGCTTTCACCTTGGGAAAGGGTTAGCTAGGCATTGAGAAGCTCAATATCAAGAGAACCTTGATACAAGTTTTAAGAGCAAGATTGATTAAGTATAGCTTCCTCTGATTGCAAAACCCTGTCTTAGACCCTAATTCTCTTTAGCTTGTTAAAGTCGCTGCCTTTATTGCTTTTTACTTCAACTCGACCCTAAACTCGATCGAGCTGGTACTCTGTTCCACTCGACTCGAGTCCTTGGTCGAGCTGTTGCTTTACTGCTTTATTTACTTTCTGCATTTCATTTCTGTTTCATTTAGGTTGTTAGTGTTACTCAATCTATTACTGCTTGCTTGACTTCCTTGTGTTTCATATTCTCATAGAGTGACAAGTTCTCCCATTTTGGATTGATAACCCTTTATGCTATAACAACTATCATGGTTAAAGGGAATTGTTGACTGTGTTTGTGTTTGCATCTTACCACCTCATCATATACCACTGTTGCATTCCACCACATCTCATTTCATATCATTTCACACCCACACACAAATCCTATCATCAATGATGTATCAACTGGCTGGTAAGGGTCAAGCAAAATCGGCTTGAGGACAGAAGATGCCTGACTCGATCGAGCTAGAGTTCGACTCGATCGAGCTGCCGATCGAGCTTGTTGTGCGAGCTCAACTGGTGAAGTGTGAATGGCTACAGTAGGTGCTTGCACTTCAGGTTGATCAATCTGGACTCCAGGAGCCTCAGCAGCAACAATCTCGTCATCATTCAGCAGCAAACAAAACTCTTCCATGACTCTCTCTTGATCCTCTTCTTCATCAAGACCTTCTTGAGTGAAGATGACCTTGCACTGTTCCTTGGGGTTCTGAATGCTTTACCAGGTAGTTGTCCTTGCTTTGTAGCAGCAGCAACAGAAGAAGCATGATTCTCCAGAGAGTAAACACTCTTGTGTTGAGATTCTCAATCTTGGAGTTGATTTCAGCTAACTTCTTGCTTGTGTCCACAACACCATCAGCTTGCCCTTGAAGCAATTGTTTCAGCATAGCCTTGAGCTCATTCTCAGGTGTAGGTGCAGGCTGGGGTGGTTGGTGGGGAAAGCCAGGTGGTATGTGCATTTGCTGACCAGGAAAAGTCCCTTGAGGGCCTTGGTAGTTGTTTTTAGGACCATACCCATGTTGTGGGGCTTGACTCGATCGAGCTTGCTTGTTGTTGAGGATAGACCTGGTCCTGAGGGTTAGCAACATCAGTGTTTCGGTATGACATGGCTGGGTTGGACTTGTAATTATAGTATCCTTTGTTGTAACCTCCTTGCCCATTGCTCATGTAGCACACTTCAGCAAATTGTGTATCCTCCCCTTCTTGGACTGGTTCCATCTCTTCAGCAGACACAAAATTGACTTTCTTCATTGTGGACTGAGCTAAGATAAGCTTATCCAACTTCTCATTCAACGATTTGACATCTTTTCTCAATTTCTCATCGACTCGATCGAGTGGTGGGTCGAGCTCCGGTTGGTGCGATCATACTCTTCTCCATAGCTTCCATTGGAGTTTGCAATGTTTCCACAAGCTGCCAGCCATCATCCACATCCTGATTGAGGAAGTTCCCATTGCTGGCTGTGTCCAACATCTCTCTATACCTTGCCAAGCATCCTCTATAAAGAGTGGAGAGCAATGACTCATTGTTGAAGCCATGATGGGGCACTGACTTGTGTAGCCCTTTGAACCTCTCCCAAGCCTCAGCAAAAGTCTCATTGTTCCTCTGATGAAGCTCGATATCTCACTCCTAAGCTTGGCTGTGCGACCGGTGGAGAAAAACTTAGCAAGAAAGGCCTTCTTGCATTCATCCCAAGTGGTGATTGTGCCATGGGGCAAGCTCTTCTCCCATTGGTGAGCTTTGTCAGCAAGAGACATAGGGAAGAGTCTCAGCTTGATGGCATCTTCAGAGACACCATTGATCTTTGTCAAATCACAAAGCCTATCAAACTCATCAAGGTGGTCAATGGGGTCTTCACTTGGCAATCCATGGAACATCTTGTTCTGCACAAGGTTGATCATTCCCAGCTTGATCTCAAAGTTGTGGTTCTGCACTGGTGGTGGAACAATCCCTTGTCTTTGTTGATGGCGGTTTGGAGCATCTCCTAGACCAATCGGTCGAGTTTGCCTAGCTCGACCGAGTCCATTGCCCAAAGGGTTTCCATTCCCCTCTGGTACATCCATGGTATCAGTAACAAGCACCTCAGGTTCCTCTTGTACCCTCTGACCTCTGACTTCTCTTTCTACCCGTGTGAAAGTCTAGCTCGACCAAGTCTTCTGTTGTTCGACTCGATCGAGTTCGCATGCACCTGCAAAAAGAATCAAAAACCCAGCAATACAAAGAACAGGGGTGGGATAGCTTGATCGTCCAAGTGTATTGAAACTCAAATGCAACAATATTCAACCCAAATGGCAACGGCGCCAAATTGATGATAGGATTTGTGTGTGTGATGTGATGATATGTATGAAATGTAAATGAGGTGGAATGCAACAGTGGTATATGAAGATGAGATGGTATGATGCAAACACAAACAATCAATCAATTCCCTTAACCATCATAGTCATTGAAGTATAAGGGTATCAATCCAAAAGGGTGAAATTTTACTCTATGAGAATATGCAAAACAAGAAAGTCAAGCAAAATAAAGATGGGATGTAACACTAACAACCTAATAAATGAAATGCAAGCAATAAAGTAAAGAAAGCAGTAAAGCAAGCAGCTCGACCAAGGACTCGAGTCGAGTGGGAACAGAGTAACCAAGCTCGATCGAGTTGAGGGTCGAGTTAGAGTAAAAAGATAAAGGCAAGAACTTTAACAAGCTAATGTGAATATTAGGGTCTAAGACAGGGTCTTACATTTAGAGGAAGGCTATACTTAATCAATCTTGCTCTCAAACAACTTGTATCAAGGTAACTACCAGTTTCTAACTCGATCAAGTATGGTGCAGGAATGTGATGTAGGAGATGTTTAAGAGATTTTCCTTATTTTCCTTTTAGATTTTCCTAATCTTCCTTTTCCTTTAATTATGTTTTTCCTTTTTAGTTTTGGATATTCAAGGGTTTTGTTTTCCTATATAAACACTTATAAGTTGTAGCCATGAGGCATATCTTATTATTCTAATTAATCAAAGCAGAGAGATTTTCTCTAATCTGGTGGATTTCCAGAGTTTTCTCTTCAAGTTCATGCTTGTGAACTTGAATTCAATCTAGGTTTAGTGCTTGCTATTCCTAGGGTTTTCCGACTGCGTCAAGTGGTATCAGAGCAGGCTTTCTCCTGTCTCTTTTTCGAGCTTGAACAGCTATGGGAGATCAACCGTTGACCAAAGCAGATATTGAGGGTATTTCGGAGGCTTTAACCACGAACCTCACTGCTTTGAGGAATCAGATGGCGGCGTTAACGACTCAATTAACAGCTTTTACCAATCAAGTTGTTAACGCAGGGCAAAGAGATAGGGGAAGAGAACCAATTAGGGTTCAACAGGGCAGAAACAATCGTGCCGCAGAGCCAGTTAGGGTTCAACATGGTGGAAACAATCGTGGTGTTAATGTTGAAATCTCTAGTTCTGATGATGAAGATCTTGAGGACGAAGAAGAAGCTGATCAAGAGAATCGACAAAACAATCATGATTATAGAGTAAAGGCTGATATTCCATTGTTCTATGGAACTATGGGAGTGGAGGAGTTTCTGGATTGGCAGATTGATGTTGATAGATTCTTCGATGTGATGGGTGTTCCTGAGAGCAAACAAGTTAAGATGGTAGCAATCAGGCTGAAGAAAACTGCTGTTGTATGGTGGGATAAACTTGTTATCCAAAGACAAAGGCAAAGAAAGGACCAGTCAAGACTTGGCGTAGAATGAAGCAGTTGATGCTTGATCGGTTCTTACCAGAAGACTATGAGCAGATTCTCTACAAGATGTATCTCGAATGTGTTCAAGGTAAACGAACAGTGACAGAGTACACAGCTGAGTTTGTGCGTTTCTCTGAACGCAATGACCTAGGAGAGACAGATAATCAAAAGGTGGCTAGATACATCAGTGGTTTAAGAAGCTCTATACAAGAGAGAATTGGTTTGCAGACCGTATGGACTGTGCAAGAGGCTTCTAGTTTAGCTTTGAAGGCTGAGCTAATGGAGAAGTCAACTCGCAGTTTTTCTTCATTCAAGAGGTTTACACCTCAGAATAACTACGAGGCAGCAAACGAAAAGGAAAAGAATGTTGTAAGCAAAGATCCCAACCCTGGAAATAAAGGAGCTAGTAGTTCTACCACTACTCAGCAGAGTAAAGCACCAGCTCAAAGGCAGAATAATCCTTATGCTAAACCATCTCTTGATAAGTGTTATCGTTGCCAAGGACAAGGTCACAAATCAAATGTTTGTCCAAGCAGAAGAACTGTTGCTTTGCTAGGAGAAGAAGAAGACGAAGAACAAGAGTTTAATGAGGATGATGAATATGAAGGGGTTGAATTTGCTGAAGAGGAGTCACATGAGAAGATAAACATTGTGCTTCAGAGAATCTTATTGTCATCTAAGGACGAAGGACAACGCAAGAATTTGTTTAGAACACACTGCTCAATTCAAAACAAAGTGTGTAATGTGATTGTGGATAATGGAAGCACAGAGAATTTGGTTTCTCAAAAGCTGGTTGATTTTCTGAAGTTGCCAACAAAAGAACATGAGAACCCATATCCTCTTGGGTGGATAAAGAAGGGCTCACAAGTTCGAGTCACAATGACTTGCAAAGTTCCCATCTCCATTGGGAAACACTACAAGGAAGAGGTAATTTGTGATGTTCTTGACATGGATGTTTGTCATGTTTTGTTTGGTCGACCTTGGCAATATGATAATGATATCACATATCGAGGACGAGATAATGTGATATTGTTTACTTGGGGAATACATAAAATTGCTATGGCTCCTGTTTTGGATTTTGATAAAAGCGCAGGGAAAAAGAAGATCCAATTTCTTGGTAATGACACATAGTGAAAAGGAGCTAGACGAAGCTTTCAAAGAAACTAAATGTTTCTTCCCTGTGGTAGTTAAAGGGTTAATGAGTGTGGTGAATGAGGAAGCAACAACTCCAGAAGAAGTGTTAGAGATTCTAGAAGATTTCAAGGAGTTGACTGCAGATGAATTGCCGAATGACCTGCCTCCTATGCGAGATATTCAACATCATATTGACTTGATTCCAGGTTCTAGCTTACCAAACCTTCCCACTATCGTATGAGCCCGAAGGAGAATGAGATTTTAAGGGAACAGATTGAGGATTTGCTGAAGAAAGGGTTTATTCGTGAGAGCATGAGCCCATGTGCAGTGCCAGTCCTTCTTGTTCCTAAGAAAGGTAACCAATGGCGAATGTGTGTTGATAGTAGAGCTATTAACAAGATAACCATCAAGTATCGATTTCCTATCCCTCGACTAGAAGACATGCTTGATGAGTTGGCGGGTTCTAAATATTTTCAAAGATAGATCTTCGTAGTGGATATCATCAAATTCGAATCAGGCCTGGAGATGAATGGAAGACAGCTTTTAAGAGCAAAGATGGATTGTATGAATGGTTGGTGATGCCTTTTGGGTTGTCAAATGCTCCTAGTACTTTCATGAGATTGATGAACCAGATTCTTCGACCATTCGCTGGTTCTTTTGTGGTTGTTTACTTTGATGATATCTTAATTTACAGCAAGACCAAAGAAGAGCACTTGGATCATTTGAAGCAGGTTTTGCAAGTCTTACAAGAAAACCAGTTGTACGTTAATCTGAAGAAGTGTACGTTCTGTACCAACAAGCTGGTATTTCTAGGATTTGTTGTTGGTGAAGAAGGGATTCAGGTTGATGAGGAGAAAGTGAGAGCTATTAGGGATTGGCCTGCCCCTAAATCAGTCACTGAGGTACGTAGCTTTCATGGTCTAGCTACCTTCTATAGGAGATTTGTTAGAGATTTTAGTACCATTACTGCTCCTATTACTGAGTGTTTGAAGAAAGGGAAATTCTTTTGGGGGTCTGAACAAGACAAGAGTTTTACTTTAATTAAGGAGAAGCTATGTACTGCACCGGTCTTGGCATTGCCTGACTTTGATAAAGTGTTCCAAGTTGAATGTGATGCTAGTGGAGTTGGAATAGGTGCTGTCTTATCTCAAGAGAAAAGACCAGTAGCTTTCTTTAGTGAGAAGTTAAGTGAAGCTCGCCAAAGATGGAGTACTTATGATCAAGAGTTTTATGCAGTATTTAGAGCTCTAAGGCAGTGGGAGCATTACTTGATTCAGAGAGAGTTTATCTTGTTCACTGACCACCAAGCTCTGAAGTTCCTTCATAGTCAGAAAGTGATAAACAAGATGCATGCTCGATGGGTAAGCTTTCTGCAAAAGTTTCCATTCATTATTCAGCATAATTCTGGGACTCTCAATAAGGTAGCAGATGCTTTGAGTAGAAGAGTTTCCTTACTCATTACCTTGACACATGAGATTGTGGGTTTTGAGTTACTAAAGGAGTTGTATGAAAGTGATGCTGAATTCAAAGAATTGTGGGCTAAGTGCAATGGTAAGCATCCTTCTGCAGATTTCCATATTCAAGATGGCTTTCTTTTCAAAGGAGATAGGTTGTGCATCCCTTGCTCATCATTAAGAGAGAAGTTGATTCGAGATTTACATGGTGGTGGTCTTAGTGGTCATTTGGGGAGAGACAAGACTATTGCTAGCTTGGAGGAAAGGTATTATTGGCCGCATCTAAGGAGAGATGTTGGTGCTATTGTCAAAAGGTGTTATATCTGCCAGACTTCTAAGGGTCAATCTCAAAATACTGGTCTTTATATGCCTTTACCTATTCCTGATGATATTTGGCAAGATTTGTCTATGGACTTTGTGTTAGGATTACCTCGTACACAACGAGGTGTGGACTCTGTGTTTGTGGTTGTAGACAGATTCTCCAAAATGACGCATTTTATAGCTTGCAAGAAGACTGCAGATGCATCCAACATAGCCAAATTGTTCTTCAGAGAGGTCGTCCGTCTCCATGGAGTTCCCAAAACTATAATTTCAGATAGAGATACCAAGTTTCTCAGTCATTTTTGGATTACTCTTTGGCGAATGTTTGGAACAACATTGAAGAGGAGTTCCACAGCTCATCCGCAAACTGATGGGCAAACTGAGTTGCCTAACGGTCCTGGAGTTAGTGTATCAGCTGAGACTATGGCTGAAGAGATTATGGCTACTAAGGAAGCTGTCAAGGCTAAGTTAGAGGCTACCGGAGAAAAGAATAAAGTTGCTGCAGATAAACGGAGGAGAGTCAAAATCTTCAAAGAAGGTGATGAGGTTATGGTGTTTCTTCGTAAGGAAAGATTCCCAGTTGGCACATATCGCAAGCTGCAACCTCGCAAATATGGTCCATTCAAGGTATTGCGCAAGATCAATGATAACGCTTATGTTGTGGATCTTCCAGAGAATATGAACATTTCTAATACCTTCAATGTGGCTGACATTCATGAGTACCATGCGGATGGAGTTCTTTATCCAGAAGAGAACTCGAGGTCGAGTTCTTCAGAGGTGGAGGAGACTGATGTAGGAGATGTTTAAGAGATTTTCCTTATTTTCCTTTTAAGATTTTCTTAATCTTCTTTTTCCTTTAATTATGTTTTTCCTTTTTAGTTTTGGATATTCAAGGGTTTTGTTTTCCTATATAAACTTATAAGTTATAGCCATGAGGCATATCTTATTATTCTAATTAATCAAAGCAGAGAGATTTTCTCTAATCTGGTGGATTTACAGAGTTTTCTCTTCAAGTTCATGCTTGTGAACTTGAATTCAATCTAGGTTTAGTGCTTGCTATTCCTAGGGTTTTCCGACTGCGTCAGAATGTCTGAAAACTCAACTAGATCCTCTCCTTCCTCGTCATCGATGTTCACAGCGATTTGAGGTATACCATCTCGACTGCATAGCTGTCTACCACTCCTTAGTGTTACTGCATGTGCATACGCCTTTGTTAATGAAGTAGAGGCACCAGAAGATTCGATTGTTTTCACCCTTGAATTAAGTGATTCAATTTTGAAGTCAATCTCAACTAAATTGTTGTTCATCTCCAATGTACCCTTGGCCTGCCCTTGTAAAAGCTGTTTTAGCATGTCTTTCATATCCCAATCTTGAGTGGGTGGGGCCTGAAATGATATGGGGGCAAATCCAGGTGGGAGACTATGTTGTTGCCTTTGATAGTTGGCTGGCTGTCCTGGAAATTATCCTTGGTAAGGCTGGTAATTTGAGTAAGCCTTCCTATAGCCACCTTGTTAATTGCCCAGATAACAAACTTCAGCATATGGATTATCCTCCCCTTCCTGATCTTGAACTAGAACTTTTCCAGAAACAGGGTTGACATTCTTCGCACTTAACTGAGCTAGGATCAGTTTGTCTAACTTGGAATTGAGAGCATGCATGTCCTGGCGTAGTTGTGCAACTGACTCGATCGAGTTGTGGATCGAGTTAAGGCTTGTGCGATCAAACTCCTCTCCATAGCTCCCATTTGAGTTAGCAATGTTTTCTACAAGCTGTCAGCCATCATCTACATTTTGATTGATTAAGGAAGTTTCCATTATTGGCTGTGTCCAAAATCTCTCTATACCTTGCGAAACAACCTCTATAGAGTGTAGAGAGCAAAGACTCATTGTTGAAGCCCTGATGAGGGCATTGACTGGTATAACCCTTGAACCTTTCCCAAGATTCAGCAAATGTCTCATTGTTCCTCTGAGCGAAGCCTGAGATCTCAGTCCTTAGCTTGGCTGTGCGCCCTGTTGAAAAGAACTTAGCAAGAAATGCTTTCTTGCACTCATCCCATGTAGTGATTGTACCATGGGACAGGCTCTTCTCCCATTGGTGAGCCTTATCAGAAAGAGACATAGGGAAGAGTCTCATCTTGATGGCATCTTCAGAGACACCATTTAACTTGGTCATATCACACAACCTATCAAACTCATCAAGGTGATCCATTGGGTCTTCACTTGGTAACCCATGAAACATCTTGTTCTGCACCAGATTGATCATTCCTGGCTTGATCTCAAAGTTGTGGTTCTGGACAGGAGGTGGGACGATTCCTTGTTTTTGTTGATGGCGGTTTGGTGCATCTCCAAGCCCAATCGGTCGAGTCTGCCTAGCTCGAAGGGTTTCCATTACCCTCTGGATCAGCCATAGTATTTGTAACAAACACCTCTGTCTCAGCTTGTTGCATGTGGCTCTTCTTTCTCTGTTTTCTGACTATGTTGATGTCTAACTCGACCAAGTCTTCTGAGCTCGATCGAGTTCGCATACACCTGCAAAACATTCTGCAGCTGGAACGGCTGATGAATCTGTTGACCCAGACGACATTCCACTTTCAAGAAGATTTAGCAAAAAGAAAAAAAAAGATAGACCCATTATACACACCCGTGCCATCACCGCCAATAAAAGAAACAACCTCACCCGGTAGAGATTCTAGATGAAGTCATTGACTCAACAAACACACCTGTGAACGAGGAAGGGGAAAAAGACTTACAACACTCTTCTACAAGTGGACAACTACATCCACTAATTGGGGATTTTGAAGCTTTCTTACCACCACCATATGAACTCGTCAAAGAGTACGAGAAAGCGATTGATAGTGGAAGGTAGGTTTATATATTTAAAACAAAGTGTGGTTCATGTCTTCGCACTTATGGTTCTTTAACTGTACACATTTTTTTACTGTTTGCAAGGGAGCTGTATTTACCGAATGAGGAAGTCATAATGAGTAATTGTTTGTCGAACCTCTTTAAATCCAACGGTGTTCAGCCTGGTAAGGTAAATAAGATATATATATATATATATATATGTAATTTGCAGTTTTAAGTATCATGGGGTTATCAATTTTCACCAGGCTATTGATGCAATAGTCTACTGCATTCAGCAACGTAAAGACAGTGTTGGGGCTTGTTCCTACGATTTCCTTCCGCCTTCGTATCTAACCGCTCTGACAGAGGAGTACACCGCTTTTCTCTCCACACCATCGAAAGGGGACTATAAGTTTCCGGACCACTTAACTTTGCCACAGCCCAACCGTCCAGAAGTGGGAGATTGGCTGTCTTGTCTATATTGTCCATACCTAATTGACGGATCACACTGGGTTGGAGTTGCTTTTGATTTGCAGGCATGCTCAATATCTGTTTTGGATTGCAACATAGCATGTGTTACTAACGAAGAAGTTCAGGGTTATTTGAAACCAATAGCTCAGATGCTTCCATACATGCTACGCCAGTCCGTTGGTGACGAAGTGTGGAGTTCGAAACCAATGCATCCTTTTCATATTTATAGGCTGGACGTAGAGCTTCTAGCTGAGTTTCCAGGTAATATATGTTAGTAAAGTATGGATTATGAATTGAAATCTGTAAATGGGTAAAATACATCGTAATTTACGCTCACAATGCATTTCCAGGGTTATCTGCTGTGGCAAGTCTAATCCTTGTAGAGCTGCATGCAACAAAAATACTATCTCATAATGGGGAGATCGAAGCTTGAATGTTAAAAGTAGACGGATAGAATTATGTGTTTGAAGCCGGTAAACGGTTTCTGAAACGGGACGCAACTATGTAACAGTGTGGGTTAGATGGGATAACTAAACCCTTCAACGTATTCTCCGAAAAGTGTGTAACTGTGTGTACGGATATTTTCACTTGTTTTCGTATCTACAATTTGTACAACTTCAGTTTTAGAAGCCGTATGTGTGTTTATATATGATATGTGAGCTAGAAATATGAAAAAGGTTTTATTTCTTCGTAATCTTTCTTTTTTTTTCAATTAATCAATCTATAATGATGAAAGGGAGATGGAAGCACTGCTGTTTCATTTTCATTCCCCTGCATTTAAAACGTTAACCATGTAAAAATTCTGGCAACTAAAGATGTTCTACGTTTGCGTATGTGACAAGTCACAGTTTCTGTTGCCCAAATTAGACAGTATGTAGAAAACATTTCTATTGTGTACATCAAGATAGAACATGAAACTGTCTGCAGACTATTCATTTTAACCCGAGTATTCATTGTGGTCAGTATGCCGGTTTATAATCCAATGCTACTGCACTTTGAAATACTAATACCTACATCGATTAAGCACACACCAAAAGAATAAAAGAGGCTTTTACTATATTACAACAAACCAGAAGGTCTTATGGGGTTTACCAACTACACATTGCAAGCTTTGCCGAATGTACAAAAGGATGGAAGCATAGTATGAAACAGAAAATATTATAGTATAACACATTTTTCTGCATATAACATAATATTTTGAGAGTCCCCCTCCTTTAAAAACATAAAAAGCCTGCACTTCAGATCCTCTAGGGAACTGGAAATTCCTTATTGCCCTTGTTGCCCAAAAAGGTTTACAAGCAATGACCTTCTATAGCCCCAATGCAACGATGCTTACTTATATTGCGTTACGGCAAGAGGCACGGTTGTGGCCTTGGCGGTGACAACGTGTGCATCTCCGGCCTGTTGGTCTCCCAGAGAACCTCAATATGAATACAATCTCTTAGATTCTTACCCTCAAACAAATTGGGAACATTTAACAACAATATTAATAAGCATCTGACCTTGTTAATTCATGTGTAAATGCTTTTGTGCCTGTCGGAGATGAAGACCAGGTCCGCCGAATCCTCGACAAAATATTGAGTTTCGACATAAACCATTGCCAGGATGCGTCATTCTCGTAATCGAAAATAGCGAATGCGAGCGGGAAAATCTGAAAGTTTGCATCTTGTGCACAAGCAGACAGCAAACATCCGCCATACCACCATTTTAGACTTGCACCATTGACCACAATTACTTTACGCATGTAAGGAAACCCAGCAATTGAAGCTCCATACGCAATGAAGGCAAACTTAAACCGTGAACCACCAAGAGGTTCTTCAACATGGTCAAGAAAGAAAATACTACCAGGATTGGTTCTTTGCAAAAGGGCTAAGTATGCAGGAAGGATTGTGTAGCTTCCAGCAATGGAACCATGTGCATTTTCCATTGCTATATCACGTGCTCGTCATGATTTCCAGTATGATACATTATCGTGAAAGTCATCTAAGAGGAGTTTCCTTATCCCAGCTGGATTTGGTCCGCGTTTGACACCCACAAACTTTGTTAGCATTATCTCTCCAATCACTTTAGTAGTTGCAAAGCGATGGTAGTTGCATCTATCATCCGCATAACACATGTGAGTCAATGACGTCCGCCACTCGCAGCGTAGACTCGCCACTCACAGGATCAATGCATTTCATCACCATAAACTTTGTGGAAGAGCGAGTAGTGCGGAAATGAAATCTTCAGTTTATTGCGTGAATGGCGATTTTTGTCTTGCAATCTGTTTTGGATTTGAACACCCTTCCGACAAAGAGCTTGTCCCCTTCGTAAGGAGCATCCGCAAGAGCATCCTCAACCGCTACAATGGCAAATACTATATCTGTTAGTTAACATTCGTTTAACTCAATCAATTCACTCTATTGGACCTTGGACCAGTATATTAAAAACACGTACCATCACCCTCTGAGGTGGAGAACACAGGTGGTGCATCTCGGCCAAAAAGGGACGGGTCTGGACTTATATCAGTTGGAATATGGTGCAATGCCTCTTCGAAGCGTCCCCAACGGCCAAACGCCGGGCCATCACCACTACCCTCATCAACATCAGGCATCTCGTCATCTATACCATCGGGCAGAGCTTCTTATGATCCGGAATGTTCACCTATTACTTCTTCATTCTCTTGGAATAGTCTTCTCCTCACACCTGAAACAAGCCCTTCATCTAGTTGGGCCCTGGGAAGAGAAGTTTGAACAAGCAGAGGTTGTATGAGATCATCATCGGAATCGGTTGAAGATGAGTCCTCCTCCGCGATTCCTTTTCCTTTGTCCCCTGGTTTAGGTGTAGGGTGAGTTAGCCTAATGATACCTTCACCTTCGTGGATTGTGATTCCTCCACTCCTGAGACCTTCTCTACGCTTTCGCGGTGGGAGTGATTTTGTCGGAATTTTAATCGCCGGTTGTGGTAAGGTTAGAGGCGTTTCCGACATGGCAAACTCATGCCACTCTTGGTCAGATTCGTTGATGATGGCCTCCTCGTCATCCCTTCGAACTGGCTCATTTTCCTTCTCCACCCTTCTCGGAATGTCAGAACATTGATGGGCAGGGCTACCGGGAAGTACAGATCTAGAGACTGTGACACAAAAGTTAACCTCTTCTACGTGACGACGCATCTGAATGAACACCTCAACTTCCTGGGTGATGTACTGCGGCGTTGACCCATCGCCATCATCGATAGCCATCCAGGCATGATACTGGTACACCAGCTTCACTGAAATGTTCGGGTTCAATAGATGGAGGTTTTCTTTAACTGTATTAACAAGAGCAGTGTATTGACAAGAGCAGCGTACGAGAATCCGGAGTTGATCTGTATGGTATGTGCACCTTCCATCGTGTCCGATTCGAAGATCCAACTACCTCCATCATCTCGCATCCAAGAACCAACAAGTAGATCTACGTTATCCTGCGGTGATATCTACAAAATGAGTCATTAAGCTCGACGCAAAACAGAATATATGGGAATCGGATGACATAGTTATAACGCTAAACTACTTTCTTATGTCCAAGGAAACTATATACTATTGTGTCTGTACTATAGGAATCGAATAAATCAAACAAACATGAGAAAAGTTATACTACAGTTGGGAGAATATGAAGTGTTACCGTAACTGTTTTGTTTGCATTTACTGTGATACTGTCTTCATCGTCTTTCATTGTTCTGGGTATGGAAATAAAGTATGAGTAAGTATCGTATAAAAGAGTGGGTTTTATCCTAGTCCTCACTGAATCTTGTCCACACATTACCAATTATTAAGTTCAAGTTTAATAAGTTTGTTAAAGTCTAATTGTTATGATAGTGAGAAGACAGGCTTGCGTATCTCCGTAAAAATATATGGGGGGTGGAAAGAGGCCAATCGTAGAAAAATATCCCGCCAATTTTATAATGGTCACACAGACTTTTCTATTGGGCCACATGCATAAAAGCATATTTAAATTTGCTATAGCTACTCAATGAATTATGGAGCCCAATGTTGTTAACCACCAAATTCACCCTTATCTGGATATTCACTTTTCTGTGATATGGTAATAGAGATTTAAAAAAAAAAAAAAAAAAAAAAAAAAAAAAATCTAGTACCAATAAAACAGAAGTCACCTAATAGCCTATTTAATTGACACGTGTCTTTCCAAATTTCTTTTGTAAATTTTTATTTTTTTGTTTTTCCAATTTTTTTGGTTTTCCTTTTCTTTTCCTGAAAATTCTTTTTCCTCTTTCGTGAAATGAGACCACGATCTATGGAAACTTCCTTCTCACGATCTCATGAATCTCTCACATATAATGAAGAGGAAAAACCACCTAAATCTATTCATCTTCAACTACCGTCTATTATTTTTCAATCACTCTAAATTCATCTTCATCCTTTCAAAATCTGTAAGAAACAAATCCATGAATCAAACCTCTCTTCTGCTTAAATCAGGTAACTCTGTAATCTGGATTTTATTCCTTTTCTGTTAATTGATAACAATGCTTCAATCTGAAATCGTAATATTGTTATTGCTTTTGATTATAATCCTTGAATGCTTGCTGTTATTTTGGTTCTGAAATTGGAGGATTTAGACAATTAATAAGAAATTTGTTTGCTACTTGAGTTTGTAAGAGATTGTTTTTTTCAAATGCTTGATTTCTGGGTTTCGAATACTTGATTTCTGGCTTTGAGTTTAAAATTTGTTGGGTTGATTTCAAATGCTTGATTTCTGAGTTTTTTTCCTTCTTTGTTTATTGATGAAAATAACAAAATTTAGAGTTCTGTAATTATAATTGGATCAGAAATTGAGCATAGTTATTAGAATTTGGATCATATGAAAATAACAATACTTGGTTTCTCATTTCCTTCATCAAATCAGTTAATTTTTTATCTTTAATCTTTCGCTACTCTCAACCATTTTTTTTTCCAGTTATGGGCAAATCCAGATTGGGGTTTGATTTGAAAGTAAGCATTAAGATGGGCTTCCAGAAAAATGAGCAAAATTAAGAATCTGAAAATTCAATGGAGATTGGATATGGGCATTATAGATAAAAAAAACATACGCCGCGGGAAATTGATTTTATTTATTTATGTAATTGTAATTTATTGAAATCTATTTTGTTGGTTGTTATTTTTTTTTGTTACCACTTTGGTGTTATTAATTTTTGGACAAAAATATTAAGCACCTCAAATCTTTCCTCAGTTTTTTTCTTTTACAGACACGAACGATTCAAGTTAAAAAATTAATCGAGAGTTCGTATGACTTATATATACCTCTTACACGGCTTTTTCCATTTCAAAATAGATTAAACAACAAGGAGTTCGCCCTAGTTTCTCCCAGGCGATCTTACCGAGGCACAGCCGCCGCCGCGCGACGCAACTCAATCCGATGATTTTCCGACCGTGCTTCCCCTGCGTAGGTCCGTGCGTCATGTTCCCCTGAAACCAGTGTTCCGTCTAGTCGCCGCAGAGGCTGATCGGAGGTTGGTCTTCTCCCTCGCCGTGCCCTGTTTTCTCGACGAGCCCTCTGTACTTTTACACAGCGTCTGCTCACTGTCTCGCTCTCCCATGGCACCATTGCTGCTCCTCCGCCTCCGTGAGAACTCTCCACCGCTGGATCCTCAGATCCGGTGAAGAAGGAGTGGTCTCTTGGTTCCCTGTTGCTGCTGCCTTCAAACGCCTCTGTTAATCCTCCAGATCCACCGGACCCGCCTGACCCGCCGGAACCACCATACTCGCAAATCAACTGTCAGGTTCTTCTTCAACTGTTGGGTTCCTCTTCAGATCTGGAACCGCCGGACTCGCAAATCTCGCGCCCATGCCCTTGTCATCGATATCTCTTACAGCCCTCCAACCCTCCGCTGCTCTTTCACCCTCTACCGCCTTCCTCCATTGTTGTTTCTATCACCACCGGCCTTGTTATAGGCTACGGTACTCTCTCTGACAACAAACTCAAAAGATCCCACTTCATAGATTCGCCGGGATTTCCATCTCTGGCGCTTTATCAAAAGATTAACCTTCCTTCCGGTTCATCCCCTCCGAGCAATCCCATTCATGTGATGGATCCAAGCTTGCGTTTTGGCCATTGCAGCAATACAACACCATCATTCAATGATATTTTTTCAACTGTGTTGTTTTGCTTCGAGCCTTGCTCTCCCACCACAACCCTTTCGCTAGCCAACGTTCAACCTCCATCAGCAGAGGTGGGCTTTCGACACAGTTTCAGTGTGTCTATTGTCAAATCTACCGGATCATGTGCTGGGATTTCTTACTTGGGTCTTTGAGGATTGCCAACTTATCGGCGTCTCTCCACACCTACATCTGCGGTTGTTGATAATTGCCAACCGTTTGATTCTAAACGCTCATTAGCCTTCATCAGCCTTAACGGAGCATCACGAGCTATTTGTCCTGTTCCATTGCTTTTAACAGCATCAGAGCTGGAGATTGTATTCAAAACAATCATCTCAGAAGCCCTTTTGAAGAAGCTTCCAGTTTTTATCTCCGATCTAAACTGCTTAATCTATCCTCTTATTGCTTTGTATTTCATTTCTGCATCGAGTTGTTTCTACTCTTTGGCAAAGAGTTTCAGCTTTGGACTTATGTAATCACGTTTTAAATTTCTAATGAGAAGTTGTTCAAAAAAAAAAAAAAAACACGGCTCTTTCCCTTTATTGTACCTTCTTTAGTACTTCTTCAGCCTTCGTTATAGCTTTTGATTACCCGAGGCCGAGACTGGATTTCTCCACTGAGCACTAAGACAAACCAAAGAAAACAATTAGTTGAGATATCATAAATTAAGGACCTAATCTAAAATCAGACTGGTTTTGGAAAATTAATCGAGAAACTTTGAAAAACAATCTTAGTTAAAAAAATTAATCGAGAAACTTACTTGGCCGATGAGATTTTTTATTTTATTTTCAAATGTTTTTGGTAGGGATGATGTAAAAGTGAGAGAATGGTGAGATTCATATGTAAGAAAAGCTCTTTTTCTAGTTAATTCTAGCTATACTTTTAGCTACGGAAGGTAAATTTTTTTTTGACTTTGTTGTGCTTATGGAGATGTAATAGATGTTTTGCTTGAATGAACAAATCTGAAATTTATACTGAAAATTTTGGTTTTCCTATCTATTAATTACCGAGAAGGGTATGCCAATTTCCTTAGTATTCTTCATAAGTTTCCCCATAATGTACATACAGTAGTAGTAGAAGAAAGATGATCTCTTACTATTGGGTTTTAATTATTTAAAATGTTCTGATTGGTTGTTGTTTTTTCCTGTTGTGTCAGTGTGAGGAAGTCTAAAAAAGATGATGTGTCAAGACGTGGAGAGAAATAAGGGGTTTTGTTGCGTTGATTTTCCATCTTTTGTTGAATTGATCTTTTATTGTTTTCATCTAATCTTATCAATGTGTTTGTTTAGGTGCTCACATTACAGAATACGATGCAAGATTAAAGCTCTGTTGTGATTGAATTTTCGATTGCAGATATTGCCACAATGAAGCTATGGTATACACTTATTAAAGGAATGGTCTTTCTAACTACATAAATTGGACGTTTTGATTATCTCACACTCATATTTCTTCTTCATCGAATTTTACATTTGCGGTTTCTACCAATCAAATTCAGATCTTAAAATCAACTTTCAGAGATGATGTCGCCTCCCAATTGAGCAAGAGAATGTTACTGACGTGGAGGAAACCATCACGTCGGTGACGGCCGGACAGCGAGAAGAAGCCTGCAACGAAGGGACAAAAACCGAAGAAAGTCAAGGAAGTGAAGGAGAAGAAGCATGTTGCTGCGGCAGCTCCAAAGAAGAAAACTGTTTCTATGTGCAAACTTACGAAGAGGTATGAGAGATCCGAATCTACCTTTTTTTATTGGTTGTTTTCTTGCTTTTATCGTGCCACATTCTGAGTCTAAGATTATAGATTGATTTATTTTGTTGTTGTTTTATATGTTGTGATTCAGATGATCAAGGATGCTATCGTTACGTTGAAGGAGAAAACTGGATCTAGCCAATACACGATTCAGAAGTTCATCGAGGAGAAGCATAAGGGACTCTCTCATGCTGTTGCTTTATTGTTTTTTTCCAGGCGTATGCTCGCTATGTGAGACAGAACCAGACGTGAGTTTTTCGACATTTTGACAAACAAACTTTATTAATGTAAACCTGTTTCTTAATGCTGACCTCTAAATTTTCATTTCCAGGTTTAGCTAAACTGCTCCAATCGTGGTGTATGTAAGGGGGAAGTACTTCTGCTCAAAATGCAAATTCTTTGACGATGATATAAGCTTTTGTTAATCGAGTTATAGCCCTTTTATCATAACTGGAAGATGTACCAATGAGAATTAAATTGGTTGTTTCTATTAGAGTGTAAAGTCCCACATCGAAAGTGGGAACACTTCTTCACTAATATATATAGTAGGAGGCAATCCTCCACTCATAACCTAGCTTTTGGGTGTGAGTTAGGCCCATTACTAATATGGTATCAGAGCCAGGTTAAGCCCAACAAGCGATTTCCCACAAGTAAAAAACGGTTTCCCACATTGAAAATGGCCCGTATAAGTGGCCCGTCTTGTTGTGATATTTCCGAGATGATGGTGCGTTGTCCCGCCCTCATCTCGAGGTGGCCTATTAGAGTGTAAAGTCCCACATCGAAAGTGGGAACACTTCTTCACTAATATATATAGTAAGAGGCAATCCTTCACTCATAAGCTAGCTTCTGGGTGTGAGTTAGGCCCATTACTAATATTTTCAGCTTTCCAAGAAACAATATCACTGCAATGACTATGAGTGTGGAATTTGCCGTATATAGGCTGCATTTGTGATTTGTGCTTACCAAATTAAAAACAAGTCTTTGTGGTCTGGTAACTAATTGTTGATATCTAATCTTATGATGTTGATTTAATAGGACCGGAGGAGAAGAAAACTTCTACCACCGTAAAAGATATCATAATAGACAAAACTTCATATGCTCGCAAAGACTTTAGATCTCACAACAAAAAACACAAGTCGGTGCATAGCATCGGGCATAATACTAGTCTATATATAATAGCAAACTCAATAAATGCCTTTTGTGGTCGTATCTTTTCATTTTTAACCGCCTCGTCTATAACCGCTCATTAAAAGGGTTGTCTTTTGATTCACATCTTTTCACTTATAACTGTTTTTTTACGAATTATTGCATCTTTTAACAAAGATGTCTTTTCAACTCTATTTATATACAGTTTTTTTATTCTTCAAATTTAAGAATCTTTTCAACTCAAACTTTTGATTAGGGTCTGAATGGTAACTGCGGAATGTTGCTGAATGCGGAATTTGGCGAAATTAAATTGTAACTTTTTGCGGAATCTAACTGAATAGTTAGTATTATGAATGGTAACTGTTGAATGTTGCTGAATGCGGAATAACTTTTAAAATAAAGAAAAATTCATTTGAAAATCTGTCCTAATAATATATTTAAACTTGAAAAATTAAATTAAATATTGCTATTAAATTGTAAATACATATGTTTAACCTTATGAAATCTAAACATAATTTATCTTTACAAAAAAAAAATTGTATTACAACTAAAACATTTACTCAGAAATAAATGGATGAGTGAGTTGTTTTATTTGGTTTTATATTCTATTTTTTCTAATTTGAAAATAACTCATGTTTTCAAAATTTTAAAACCTAGTGTTTTATTATTATATATATATATATATATATGAGAAACAATATATATAATCATTAACACGACCAAAAAAAATATATATAATCATTAATCTTTAAGTTTTTTCATGATAAGATAAATATTAGAACGTGCTAATATTAACAAAAAAATAAAATTGATGTTAGATTTCTAAATTCTTTAAATTTTGTAGTATATAGAAAATTTCTATAAATAATTTTTTTTTGAATATCATAGTTAACGAAATATAACATGTGTTGATTGTTGAAGAAAACCACCCTAAACAATAGTAACATGATATAAACAATAAACATATATATATATATATATATATTCAACATTAAGTAATTTTTTTTTATCATCATATGTAATTTTATTTATTTATTTATAATAAAGCATAGACTAAAGTAATTTATGTTAACTATAATTAAATTTAATGATCGTATTAAATTATGTAAGTGTAATATTCAATAGTTATTATATTAAAGAAAGCATATTTTGTCTTTTAGTCCACAATTCTTTAATTCCTCATAATTCCTCAATTCTACAATTCCTCAATTCTTCAAATCTAACTGGTAACATATAAAAAGCATTCCATATCATTCCACAATTCAGCTGCATTCTACATTTACCAGTTAGGCCCTTAATCTTTTTTTTGTTCACATTGCCTTTTCCTTTTTTATCACCATCGATGTGGTCTCATCGATTTCTCATCACCATCCCTCCAATTATTTTTTTGAGGGAAAAGTAATTAACCACCTAATTACTTTGTGTGACCAACTGAGTTTTAATCCCATTCTCTTATAGGAATTGTGTGCTTGAGTAGCGTTTCTTGGTTTAACCTCCAAATTGCACACCGCATTACAAAACCCGATGCTTCCGATAAAAGTCTTGAAATATCGACATTATGATACCAAAGCTTCCGTATCATATCCTTCTTCCAGTCCCGAATAAGTAAGTTCGGATAACCAAAGATGAAAAGAAACCAATATCTCGTTTACACAAGGGTGTGCAGAAACCTTAGTTTCATCTAATCTATGTTGATGTGGTGTCGCCGTTTTATGTTTTCGTTTAATGGCTAATGTTTCCTCTATCATGAGAGAGATTCCTGGATCACATACAAAATATTGGAGAATAACGATTGCTGGGATTGACAACAATCCAACACCAAAACCAATTACACCGGAAAGAAACTCACATGAGAGAGAAAAAACGGTTACCCATTGGAACCTTACAACGCTTGAACGAAATGGGAGACCAACGCCGCATAACATCACGATCACTGTGATACACCACCATAGGTGTGGCATGAAGAAACCACCGTGTGCATGTCGTAAAACACCGGCGCTAACGTAAAGAGACCACATCGCATTCAAGATAAAGACAATCATCTAACAGTTTACTAGATGTTGTAGATGACACTCCAATTTTGACATGAGTGATGAGATTCAAATTTGGATAGAAACTTTTTGGGTAAGTTAGTTTAACCATTTCGTACTTTCATTTCTATTTAGTTTGTTTGTTTTTTTTTTTTTTTTGGGTGAATCTATGTAGTTTGTTTATTGCAACAGTCCTTGATAACTAAATATATTATGCTTAATTATAATGCAATCAAATATATAGTAGTTATTAACATAATTGTTCTATTTGGGGTAATTCCATATTTGGGGATAATTCTTTCAAATCTCAATCAATTTGGAGGAAATTCTCTTCTTTTTTTTTTTGTTCAAAATATACTTCCATTAAACTTCAAGTTACAAAAGGAGGGAATGTGACATCCTCATTGACTAAAACAAAAAAAATAAGCAGATAGAGCTTGAAGCATATGAATCCTCAAGATACGATGATAGCGGATCCAGAACAAAGTTCAGATGCGTCGAGATAACTTTTGAAACTTAGTCACTTTACATTGTGACGTTGAAACCCAATCCTCACCTCCGGGATTCGTCGAGACGAACCTGGCAGCCTATTCCGGCTTTGTGCAAGCAGTTACACAAGAAGACAAGACGGTGAAGAAATTGGTAAGATTTCCGGGGAATGAACCCGAAGATAAAACCCCTATACAAGATAGCGGGTATGGTGGAGAAATTCTCTTCCGGTGAAAGAAGGAGGATGGAAACGATCTCTCCTAGCCAAGGGAGGAGGGCGGAAAAGTAAACATCTTACCTACAAAGAGAGATGAAAATATTCCGGCGAAGGTGCCTCGGATATTACCAAGAGGCGGTGATGCAACTGATGCACACCAAACCACATCAAAACTTGGGTAAGGCCCAATGAGTGTGGAGTAGCGACAACCCAAATGGGGATTAGTGGGCCAGGCCCAAATCAATATTTCGCTGAGGAACGAGACTACGGCTGCGTGGGGAAACGGAGAGATGCGGGAGCGTTCGCCGGATCTACTTTTTCCGGCGAAGGCAGAGGTAGCATAGTGTCGAGAGAGCACAAAGATATCACCAGTAACTGGGACTTCTCCGACGTAGAAGGGATCAAAAGTTACCGGCAACTAGAGGGTTTTAGAGGTTATGATGAACAGTCGGATCTCATCGAGACCGGTTAGAGAGATACACCTCTGTTGGATGGGGACGATCGGAATGAGGGGAGGAGAGCATAAAGGCTGCATGGACGATGGTAAGAAAGGTCTTCGGGGAGTACCCGAGAAGTTGCCTGATCTAGCGATCCTTGCGCACAGATCCAGGAAGATGTACAAACTTCTAAAGCACAGATCCGCGGGCTCCGAAGAGAGCAATTGATGGTCAAACGGCGGTAAGTGAAGAATGAGTTTAGAGCGCAGCCGTCAATCTGACAGATCCGGTGGTTTCGGCGGAGGTTGCGGCAGCGCCGAAGGGTGGCTCACTCCGAAGTGAGAGAGGCTCGACGCACATCTTTGCTGCTCCGGTGAGTTGAACGGTAGAGATGAGAGCTCCGTCCTCAAGAGCTCTGCAGGTCGCTCCGGTACCATCACCGGAGAGGAAGAGCGGTCGAAAACAGACAGAGAGCTAAAAGATCTCGTCGGCAATGGAAGAACCGGCGGAAAAAGGAGCAAAGTCATCGGAAACCAAATGGGATCCAGGGAAAAAGACAGCCACGCTCCAGTTCAGGAGGAGAAGAAACGCCGATGAGGCGAGTTCATTCCGAAACCGGAGCAGGGCGACGACGGAGAAAGGTTGACGGCGGCTTTGAAAATCGTGCCTGGGTGAAACTTCAAACTAGGGCGAACTTGTTTTTTAGTTGTTGTTTTTAGGAAAGTCTCTTTTAAAGAATAACAAAGAATAACAGTGAAATGGTAGTTTGAAATTTGAATTTTCCAAGCAAAAGCATATATATATATATATATATAAAATACACAAATATCCATTATGAGGATTTGTCCAAGAACCATCTTAATAAGATGTGATGGTCAATGATGTATACGTTGTCGTAATACTAATATAACTATATAGGCAGTTGCTAGGAAAGTGAATGAATTCAGGTTGATGAGTTAATGGCTGCGATTGACGCACACATCAAAGATATATGGATTGAAAATAGAAAATTTATTCATCTTTTTTTTGAATGAAATATATTCATCCTTACGTTGGCCATTTTAGCAAACCGAATTAATTTACCATTCCATTTATTTAGAGCAACCTCGTACGTCAGGCCACATAACTGTGGTTAAGAGATGGGTCTTCATACTAATGAAAGATGATTACAAATAATGTTTGTTCATTAGAAACATTCGTACTTTTGGTTCATGTGATTTTTGTAACCCGGGGATCTTTTTTTTTTTTGAACAACTTTTTAATTGATTAAACCAAACCGGGTTAACCGGGACAAGATACAGGACATAAACGGCTCTTCGCTGACTTAGCGAGAAGATCGGCCTTTGAGTTTTGTGATCGGGGAACAAACACAAATGATACAGAGCAAAAGAGAGATGCAAGAGCATGGATATCAAACAGGAGACCGTAGATCTCTTTGATGGGCTCTTGTGCAGTAATAGCTAGGACGAGGTCCTGAGCGTCAGATTTGAGAATCAAATTGGTGTAGCGATTCTCTAGGGCGTGATTGAGGGCATATCTGATTGAGAGCGCTTCTGCCATCGTTGGAGACAAAACGAATTTCTCAGCCGATTGTCCTGAACCTAGTTCGACTCCCAAGCTATCGAGGAATATCCAGCCAGCGCCGGCTATTCCTGTATCTAAGCTCCAGGCTCCATCAGTGAAGCAGGTAACTGAGTCTTCATAGATTCTATGTGGTTTCTGATTCCTTGTATGAGGCTTGGTAGTATCAATGTTTGATTGGGCGTTCTGCCATTCTTTTGCTTCACTTAGGGCTTTGTGGATGGTGTTTTCAGGGGAGAAGGGTCTGTCTTCAAAGACAAGATAGTTTCTCGCCGTCCAAATGGCCCAGACTAGCCACGGGAAGATCGGTCCTAGATGGAAGCCAGTCGGTGGGAGACATATCATGGTCTTTGCGTTGACAAGGCTTCGGGTGAAGTTGTTTTCCTGAGAGGGGCTAATAGGTGATTTGAGAGGATCTAGGGACCAGACCTTTTGGGCAAAAGGGCATTGGAAGAAGAGATTCTCGGCAGTTTCAAGCTCACCACAATGGATACAGCAGGCGCAATCAGGGAGTCCTCTACTCAGAAGATTATCTCCGAGAGGCAGAGCCTTTTGCACGATCTTCCACAAGAACACTTTCATCTTCGGTGAGAATTTTCCTGACCAAATGTCCGAGTTCCTGTTGATTGCTTATGGGGATATGAAGGGTTCGTTCTCTCTTGTGGACAAGGATGTGTGATAACCAGTTTTAACGGAGTAGGTGCCTGATTTGGTTGGTAGCCAAATGTATGTATCTCGGGCTCCTCTTCTACTGGGTCTGATCCGCAGGATATCTGCTTCATGGTGCGGTAAGACGAGCTTTATTTTGTTCTGATCCCATTCATGTCCGTTTTCAAGTAGAAGGTCTGGCACCATGAGGTCTTTGTCATGTTGTGCTGGTGGGCCTAATGGACAGGTGGGGGTTGTTAGGGAGAGCCAAGGATCACTCTAGACCGAGGTTGAGGCGCCATTTCCAATTGCTTTGCCTAGATTCTTAAGGAGGAGGTCTCTACCAATGATAATTCCTCTCCAACCGTGCGAGGCAGAAGAAGGCATCGGTGCATTCAAAAAGTGGTGGTCTTTGCAATACTTTCCTTGGAGGATTCGGGAGAGGAGGCTCTGGGGATTGTTGAGGATTCTCCAACTCAGTTTTGCAAGGAAGGCATCATTATAGCTTTGGATGTCTCGGAAACCCAAACCTCCATCGCGTTTTGATCTTGTAAGTTTTTCCCATGAGAGCCAGCACATTTTCTTCTTTCCTGGCTTTGAATCCCACCAAAACCGGGTTAAGGCTGACTGAATCCTTTTATATAACCCTGCAGGGAGCTTGAAGCATGACATAGAGTAAGTCGGCATTGCCGACAAGACCGACTTGAGCATTATCAGTTTCCCAGCACTCGAGAGAAGCCTCTAAGAGTAGCTGACTGCTCTTTGATGGATGCGATCGACGATCATGGTGAACAGATCCTTCTTCTTTCGTCCGAAGCTTTCAGGAAGCCCTAGGTACTTTCCTTGGCCTCCCTCTTTTTCAATTCCTAGTGCTTTCTTGACTCTTTCTCGAATGTCTAGTGGTGTTTTTGCTGAGAAGGTTATAGATGATTTGTGCAAATTGATCATCTAACCTGACGCTTCTTCGTACTTTTGAAGGATTGAGACTAATGAATCACAACTTTACGGACTTATTTTGCAGAAAAACATGGTGTCGTCGGCAAAGAGTAGATGGTTTAGGTGGGGGCTTCCTCTGGACACGCTAATTCCTAGTAGCTTGCCGTTAACTTGTGCATTTTGGCAAAGACCTGAAAGGACTTCGCTACAGAGGATGAAGATGTATGGGGACAGAGGATCTCCCTACCTGATGCCCCTTTGTGGTTGGACCGATCCTTGGGCTGCACCGTTGACGAGGAAAGCATAAGACACCGTAGAAATGCACTGGAGAATCATATTGATCCATTTCGCGTGGAAGCCTAGTCTCTCAAGGACTGCTGATATGAAGCTCCACTCCAACCTGTCATAAGCCTTGCTCATGTCAGTTTTCACTGCCATAGCACAGCGCTTTGTTGCTCCTGATCTTTTAAGGTAATGAAGCACTTCATGCGTGATTAAGACATTGTCAGAAATAGCTCTCTCGGGGACATAAGCTGTTTGTGTTTCTGATATGATGGATGACAGGAGTGGTTGGAGTCTGCTCGTTAAGATTTTTGAGATTATCTTGTAGAAGACATTGCAGAGGGCGATAGGACGATATTCTGCGACTGGAGACTTTGGGGATTAGTCGCACATGAGTGTTATTGATGGATCGTGGCACAATTCCTGAGGTAAAGATCTCCTTGATTTCTTCTACTACTTTGCTTTGAACTGTTTCCCAGTTGGTTTGGAAGAAGCTTGCTGAGAAACCGTCTGGTCCTGGGGCTTTGTCGGGATGGATGGAGAATAAAGCTGACTTTATTTCATCTGTGGTTGGGATTGCTATCAGGGCCTCATTGGTTTCGGGGGAGACGCATGGTTTCAAGGCTTGTGCCACAGTCTCAACGCACGTGGTGGACTTTGTGATGAAAAGATCTTGAAAGTAGGAATTGATTACTTCAACGATCTCTGCTTCTTCGTACACAGGTGATCCTTCTTTATCCTCTAGAATAGAGAATCTATTTATCGCTCTTCTCCCCCTTGTTACTGCGTGAAAATAGCTTGATATGTTATTTATTAACCTTCCGGTCAAATTACGTAGAGAGAAAGATTGTTCTTGTTAATAAATTCAATAAATTACAAAATACTTAGATATGGTTACCACTTAGATAAGAACTTTGACTTGTCTAAATATTAGAGTGTTGTTCATGTGTGTATATTAATTAATTTATATCATATATTCGTTGGGGTTGAGGTGTTAATTTATTGTAGTTTAGAAAATTGATCAAGATTCGTTATCACTAATGCATTACCACATCAGATATCTTGACGTGTCCTGATCGAAAGCTCTAAAAATTTTCACTAATTTTTCTTGTCTCTTTTCTCTCATCATCATCGCTGTATATATTTATAATCCATTTCTTACATCGTTGGTATTGCCTTATTCATCCGTTTACTCCACGTTGGCTATGAATTATTGACAAATAACAAATTTGATAGTGATTCAAGCAACCTATCCTTATTTATTTATTTAGATAAAGACAAAGCATTAATCTTAACACCCAAAATGGTGTTCTTGTAAAATTCTGGAAATAATTTAAGAGGATTGAAAAAGGCTTGTTATCTACTTTTCTTGAAAACCAAGGAAGGACTTGAACTTTGAGTGGATACTCTTTTTATGACACAACTTCAGTTTAACGTGGAACACGGTTCTGATTTCCTCCGGTTTATGTCCACTTTGAGTGGAATGTGGTTAGTTTCTTCTGGAGTCTCTTTCGTAACTGTCAAATTGACCGCTGTAAGTTATTCGTTCATGTCAAGTTATATATCTGGAAACGTTTTCTTCCTTTAGCCGTCCTGATATTAATATTTGTTTATGTGTTCTTGTCAATTTTTATACATGGGACTAGGGGATATCCCGGGCTACGCCCGGGGATTTTGTTATAAAAAAATTATTTGGTTATGATAATTATACATTTTTTTTTTTTTTTTCACAAACTGATTTTATAAATCAAGCTTCCGTTACACCCTCACAAAAGAGGAAGAAAACCAACATAAAAGTTGGATCTAAAGATACAATAAGCACAACAAAGCTAAGGAAGTAAAAAGACAACAACAAGATAAATTCAGAATAACCATAAGGGGTTGATTCTTCCTTTGAGATAGATAGGGAGGCAGAATTTCCTGAACACAAGATCTAGGTACCAAATTCATAGCCTGAAGCTAACAACAACACACCACCAAACATCATGACAACAACAACCAATTCCCAGTCCACGAGACTTTGAATTGTTGAGGTTAGAAGAGAGGTAAACTTGGAAGCAGCTTTCTTTAGACCCAAGACCAACAAATGGTCATGAAATGCTCGCAAGGCTAAGGCCATGAAGGCTAAAACCAATAAGACAGAGCTTAACAATACTCGCTCCACAAAGGAGGAGAAGATTATCGGTTTAACCGAATACAATTCACCTCTAGTAAAGAGGATCAATGAAGGTATGATTCTCTTCCCTCTTGAGAAAGAAGGTGAAGACAAACTCTCCCATAGGGAGACCATAGATACCAAGTAGCAGAGCTTTTCAATTGGTAGAGGCAGCTTAGGGAAGGATCTCGCTATGCACAAATCATGGGTCAAACCCAAAGTTTTACAACGCCGGACTAAAATGAGTAAATTGACGAAATCGAGAATCCAAGATCCCGATGTCCCTTCACCGGCGAGGAGTAGGACGTGAAGCTTCGATTGGCCAAAGCTTAGACGGATGGAGGATGATTCGATGATGGTTGAGGAATTGGGGAGAGTGCGCTTCTGCAATTCGACTCCAACGGAGCGTAGATCTAGATTGGTCAGAGAGATAAAACTCAGCAGAGAGACTGTGGAGGGATGAAAGCCGTGAGGATGCAGGAAAGGCAAAGTAACCAGAAGATACAAGTATGGAGACGCGAAGAAGAGATCCAGCGGTTGAGAACTGACCAGACTGGCTGGAGGTGGAGGCAAGAGCAGAACAGTGGTCGACCCACCATAGGACGAAGGCATGACCGTGAAATAGACGGATCCGGAGGTTCCGGTGGAGGATTCGGCAGAGCCGTAAAGAGACTCACTCGGAGGTGAGAAGATCTCAGAGCACTGACTGGCTGCCTTGATAGGGTGATGAGGAGAAACACGAGCTCCGTCCTCAAGAGCTCAGGAAATCCCATAGATCCGACTATCAAAGCGACAGAGCAGCAGAGAAGCGAAAAAGTTCGAGCAGATCTCGTCAGCGGTGGAGCCACCGACGGAAAAAGTGACAAAGCCATCGGACGCCAAGTGGAGCCCGGGAAAGAGGAGGCGGAGCTCCGATCTCAGGAGGAGAAGAAACGCCGGTGAAGACGCTTCATCCCTGAAATCGGAGCTGACGACGGCTGGATGCGGCGGTCTTGGTTTGTGTGCCTGGGAGAGTTTTTGCCTGTTGAATTGGTTAAGAAAAATAAATTTTGACTAGTAATACTTCGATAAGTGGTAATTATAAAATTTTATATTTGAACATATTTTACATGTTTTAAAATGCTCATAATAAGACGAACTCTAAGTTGTTAAAAAAGTAAATTGTATTAATGTACTACAACCATTAGTAACACATAAATATAGGTCTTATAGTTGAGAGTTATGCATTTTTAGTATAAAATAAAAATAGGTTCGTTCTTACCTCCATGCTAAAAGCATAACTCTGCAGCCACCAAGAAAGTTTTTGAAGATAAATGTCATTAGCTTCACTCACCTTGAAGAAACAAATTTAAATAGTTTGTCACATTCAAATTCTAAAATTCCACGTGAACATATGTTTTTGTTTCTCATCTATCTCATTTGGTTTCATTTTCTGTTGTTAAGTTCTTAAACTCTTTGTCTCCGTTTTATCACTATTAATTACAGTAGTACTCCAGCCGTTTATATTATGCATGGCCATGTATATGCTTTTACCTTAGTTACTTTAGTTAATGTACAACTTTCTTCGCGTTTTTGTATGATTCAGCAAAAAATCAATTAAGTGAAATAGAATTCAGATTTTATTTTAAAACATATGATTAGATGATTTAATATTTGGATGGTTTATATTGGTCATGATTTACAACAGTCGGATAAATATTGTACTTACCACCATAATATTGTTAGATGTGTTTGTGTTGTCTAACTATAAAAACTTGATTTCTGCACTTCTATTAATTTAGTAGTGTGTCATCATGAAATACGAAGCAAAAAAGAATTAGATGTTCCCCCCATAAAGAAAGATGAACAATTGTAGATCAGCAACATGTCACTCTTATTCTTCCTCATTTTTTCTCTTAGCTTTTTGATGATAGAATTTTATTGGGTGTGATATGATATGAATGAAGGATGATAAGATATGAGGTGGAATGCAAACAGGGGTGAATAAAGATGAAATGGTGCAATCACAATCAATCAATTCCTCTTAACCATCATAGTCATGTAGTATAAGAGGTTATCAATCCAAAATGGGAAACTTGTCACTCTATGAGAATATGAAACAACAAGAAGTCAAGCAAGCAGTAATAGATTTGAAGTAACACTAACAACCTAAAAAAATGAAATGCAGTGCAATAAAAGTAAACAAAGCAGTGAAGTAGCAGCTCGACCAAGACTCGAGTCGAGTAACAAAGTACCAGCTCGATCGAGTTTAGGGACGAGTTGAGACAAACAAAGCTAAAGGTGACGACTTTAACAAGATAAGAGAGAATTAGGGTTCAAGACAGGGTTTTGCAATCAAAGGAATCTACACTTAATCAATCTAGCTCTTAAAACTCCTTGTATCAAGGCTTCTCTTGATATTGGGCTTCTCAATGCCTAGCCAACCCTTTCCCAAGGTGAAGGCTATCAACCAAGGAATGATCTCAGAAACAGGGGGTTAGCCAGTGAGAATCAAACCTTGGAGGCTATAGGATCATTGCCCAAACTAATCCATCCAACCCCTTAGACCTCTATTTCTAGAGCAAGAGATATTGGAGCTCTTAGTGGATCTTTTCCAGCGAATGCCATCACTTCGTGTGGGGATCGCCTAAGGACTTACAAGCCAGGGGTAGTGGTCATGTAGCCTTAAGATCTATCCAAAAGAGAGAGAATCTAGATTAAGACCATAAGCTAGAAGGATTAAGCATATGAAACCTCTAATCTATCCCATCTCAAACCCTAATGGGTAACTACTCACTACACATGAATGTAAACACAAGCAAATGCAATAAAAGAGACATCATAAGAAAGAGGAGATGAAATTAAACAACTTTTATTGAAATAAGCAAGTGCAAATACAAAGAAGATTATCCAGGATCTAGGATTCAAGAAGCAAGAGCTTCAAGAACACAAAGATGGGATTAGAGTTCTAAAAAGTAAAAGACAATAAATTAAAAGAAACTAAAACAAAATAATCTAAAGCTTGGTGGTTTTTTCGTGGCTTAGAGCCTTTAAATACAAGAGGATTAGGTTTAGGGTCAAAGGAAAGTCAAGGGGGAAGCAACATTTTTCGGGTTTGACTTTGACTTCTCAGCTCGATCGAGTTGAAGCTTGGCCGGTCGAGTTGAGGAACTCGACCGGTTGGTCGAGTAGACGGTCGAGCTGGTCTTCAAGATGGCTTCTCCCTTCTTCCTTTGCGTATCCAGTTGAGCTGCTTCCATGTGCCAAGTCCCTCCATGCTCCTCATGTCCCATATGCTCCAGAATGCTCCAAAAGACCTATTTCAAAGGACCAAACATGCATATGTATGCAAATGCAACCTAAAACTAACATGAATGCATAAGAAGAGAAAAGGAACAAGATATGATGCAAATGGAAGCTAAAACTATGCAAAAGATGCATAAAAGATGTGCTAAAACTATGTAAAATGCAAGTACATCAACACCCCCAAACTTGAACTTTGCTTGCCCTCAAGCAAACAAATAGAACAAGAAAGAGATGAGGTTTGAAAACAAGCTGATTCAACACTTAAAAACATGTCCTCAAAAGCGATTTGCTAAATGTCCAACTTAGAGATTCTAGAATGCAACAAGGTGAGAGATATTCATTAAGATTTAACCATGCTTATCAACATCAATCCCACTTCACAGTCACTCAAACAATGCATTCAAATCAGCAAATCCCTTTAACATTCATTAAGCAAAAACAGTGAACCAAAAACATGCAAGATCAATCAACTCATTTGGTTTCAAGGGTTTATGGGTTAAGAGACAAAGAGGGTCTCTTTTGTATGGTGGTTTAGTAACAGGGATCTCTCAAGAAAGTGGCTTTGCTTTGGCAGAAGGCTAAGTGTTAGAACCAAAGATGATGCAAGAACAGCAGCTCGAGCCGCCTAATCCTAACTCGATCGAGTTCAACACTTAGAGCTTTTTAGAACAAAATCCTAACTACCCTTTTTGGCATTTCGCCTTTGAAACTGAGGAGCTTTGCTCACTTTTCTTTTAAGAACTTCCTAGGGAGAGGCTTCTTGAGGTAACATCTAGCGGTTTGGGATTTTCTAAACACTTAGGGAACTTTTCTTTCCTTTTTGACACTTGAGGCTTTGCCTTCTTTTCATTCTACTTAGAACCCTTTTTACTTCCTTTTTTAACTTCCCAAACCTTTACTAGACCCTTTTTAACACTGCCAACTCCCTGGACTTAACAAACTCTTTTTCCTTTGGGTTTTTCCCAACTTTTACCACTTTTCTGGTTTTTACACCCAACTCGATCGAGCTCGAGTTGGCACCCCCAAACTTAGCCTGAAAACAATCCCAAGAGAACTAGACAACTAGAACTACTGCCCCTGCCGGTTTAAACACAACACCTTATGCTAAGCAAAGCCAAGAAAGGTTCTCACATTCGCACAAGAGATAATATGGGGTTTGAAATGAAAAGGCTTAGGTTTAAGGTGTGGTAACTGTCTCAAAGATAGAGATCAGCTATCTGGACAAGCAAAGGGATATGAAAATAGGTAAAGAATGTCCAGATATGTATGTGGTAGCCATGAGTTGAAATCAAATGCAAGCATTGGTAATTAAAGATCAAGTTATGGTTCAAATAGATAGGGAAATGCATCAAATCACAACAATGGTTGGATATTAAGGGGATCAAATTGGTGACACAAACAAAGAAGCCAAATGAATTCTTAAGGGGATCAAATATTGGCTAATGAATATATCTTATATGCATCTCTTTTAAAATGAATAACGCTTAGATTGCTTAAACAAATGCAAAAGAAAGATTCAATGGCTGTATATTCACGAAAGTTTAATCTAACGCATGATTTTACACAGATTTCTTGGCTGAATATAAAATCTATGATCGGATGGATCCAATATAGAATGAATCTCCAGCCATATCATTATTTCAGAAACAATAATCAGTAACGTATATTGAAGTTTTTTTCAACCATAAGACCATTTCCACAATCAGACAAAATCATGAACTGTCAAAATGGTTAAAGCAATTCGATCGATCAATGTGAAAATGGTTAAAGCATAAGATCTTAAGACATTATCATGAACTAAACATCAAAAATTGTAAAATTGATTCGATCTACCGCATAGCTTACTGATTACCTATAAAGTTAGAGAGCAAAAGGAGAAAACCAGCAAATAAGGACCACTTGAATAGAGATACTGCAGATTTACAGAAAAAGAACAAATTTTGAAAAGGAAGATTCAGACTTTCATTTGAGTTTGTTTCAGAATACTGAAAAGAAGATCGATATGCGAAACTTAACCATTTGGAGAGGAGCATCAACGAGAGTCACTTGAAGCTTTAAAATCAGAAATCGACGAAATCAAGCCGGAGGTGAAAAATTTGCGGTTTGTCATCGCACCAACGGAGAAGGTTCTCAATCGGGATCTCCGCGACGATCTGATAGAAAGAAATTGTTGAATCGGCGGAGAGCTCGAACTACACATGTCTCAAGCTCGAAATCTCCGGCGCTTTTATAAAGAGACGATTGAGGAGAAATAAAGAAATGGATAGAATAAGACTTTCGGAGACAATAGAAGAATAACACAAAGATGCATGGATAGAAATTGCTACTCTCTCTTTTTTGAGTTTATTGTTTGTTGATTTTGTCGGAAGAAGTCGGAAGAAGAACAATGAAAAGGAGAAGAAGAAGTCGGAAGAAGAAAGTAGGTAATTCAATTAAGCAAGTCAAACCGGGTTAAACCAAAAGAAAAACGTGGCACACTTAAAACAAAACTCTGCTGACTGGTATTAATTCAAATGTTTCTATTGGCTTCTTGTTTTTATTGAAGTGTCAATCTCAGGAGCTCTAAGAAATCCTATGTGTCAACACCTTAAGAGGCACATGGATTTTTGCTGTGTTGATTCGATGCTTTTGAAGCTTATATAATATTCCAAGCCTTGAAACTATAAACAACCATTCACATGAAAGTGGGGAAATATAAACACATAGCAAATATAAGGCCCGAGTATACAATAGAATTATGTGCTTTACAGAAGTGTAGCACAAAATAGTTATCTTCAAGGTTTATGCGCTGTTGAAGAGTTCTCCACCGTCTGGTAAAGGAAAAAAATACTCTTAGCTTTCTTTGAACACTCGCATCCACAGACCACAGTCACTCTAATTCTGATTACTGCCAAAGAATGCCTGATACTGATAAGTCACTGAGATACCAAATCGAAATGCAACCTGTAAGATATAAAATCTCGGAGATTCAGTCATAATGCAAGTCCGAGATGAAGGAATAACCGGGGAGGAACAGAGTGGGAGCTTCGTTAAAA